CACATCAGGCACATGTGTGTGCACACCCAAAATCCTGAGAGGAGAATGGAGAAGGGATTGTGGAGTGGCCCTCCCCACTTGGGGGGGGTGATTTCTTGCTTTCTGTCTCTCTGGCAAGCATAGTTACCCTTTAACAAAAATCTCTCTTTCTAAAAAGGTGTGTTTTTGAGATGGTATAATAGTTATGTCGCTGGCCTCACATATAATTCTTTGTCTATTCGATATTAAGAGTTTAATATTTTCTTGATTAAGTTATAAGAACTCTTTACATATTAAGGATCATTGGGGCATTGGCAAAATCACAATGTGCTTTTTCATAGAAAAATATAGAGAAAATGCATCATGACTTTTCCAACAACCCAGTATTTAGGAGGATTTGAGTTGAATATGGATCGAGGGAGAATAGGCACGGTCAATTCCTTGGTTGACCTGGATGATGGTATTGTAGACTGGGGAAGAAGAGATGGTGGACAGTGAAGGTGGAAATAAATAGATCCATTTCAATACAGTCTCTACATTCAGTATTCTCTGTGACAGGTCACAGGATCCCCTTATCCTTGGTGTTTTGGGTTTGAGATCTCTGTTTATGACTGTGTCTAAAGCCTCCCCAGGCTAGGTGCTTTCTCTCTGCCTCTTCAGAGGAAAATACCTAGACTCGGGCTCAGAAATGGGAAGGACTGCTGCCCAGTGGTTTGGAGTCAGGAAAGAGACCTGGGGGTGTAACATTTCTCCTGGTCTTTTCTTTAGCAAGCTCTTCACAGTTCCAGAGGTATCTAACCAAGACAGCCGGTTTCTGTGCTTTCTAAAAACCTTGCAATGTAAATCAAGTCAGCTCTCAGTTTTTCCCACGGCCAGTCTAAGATGTCTTTTTCCTCCGGGCTGATAAGTCAGTGACAGCATGACTGCCTGCCATCCTGCCTCAAAAATTCTGCTAGTGTTGTTTCCTTTCCTGGTCCATTTAGCCTCATAGGTTTATCTCTTGGTTTTAAGATTTCTTTACCAACATTTTAGTGGAGTGTTGGGAGGGAGTGAAATTGATATATGTATTCAATCACTATCTTAACCCTAACTTCCCTTCTCAATATACTTTTTAAGAGATCATACCTGGGAATAACCCTACTTGGTCATGGAGGAGTGCTATTTTAATGTACTGAGGTATGTTTATTTCTGTCTTTCCATTTGGAAGTCTTTAAGTGAACATGATTAGCAGGAAATGAGCCTTTCTATGAGGAGGATTCAAAGGAAATGCCTCCAGTGGGATAACTTTTATTAAGTGTAGGAGAGAAAGCCAGAGGCTGAACCCTAGCATGCAGCCTCTAAGCAACCCCAAATGGACTGGAGGAGGCAGTGGGGGGGGAGGACCTGACAGGACCTGGGGGTATTTCTAAGGGGATATCTTTTGCAATGTTTTGTTTAGGGACCCAGAATAAATCCCAGGCCTTATCGTTGACCCCGAGAGGGGCTCAGCTGATGGCCTATTTGATCTTACATCAACTGGGGAGCAATTCTGTGACCAGGAAGTGAGTCCCAGATGCCTTTCTGATATGTAAGCCATTGCCCACATGGGTCCTGGAATGATTTGCTATTCGCTTAACAAATAGACATTGAGCATCTACATGGGCAAAGTGCTATGCTAGCTCTCAATAACTGAGACAGAATCTGCCCTACGTAACTCTTTTAGCAACCCCTCCCCCACCTTACAGAGCAGATGGAAAGGGGATTCAAGACCCCATTCAGGACCGTATGTGACAATAATTTTTTTTCCTCTGGGCCAGCTGGTGGTGTGGTGGTTAAGGACGCTGGATTCCCACATGGCCGACCATGGTTTGAGTCCTAGACCTGAGGGCTTGCTTTGTCTCTCTCTTTCTCTCTCACTATGTCCCTCTCTGGTCAAATGTAAATAAATAAATAAAGTCAAATAAAATAATTCTTTTAAAAATAATAATAATTTTTTTTCTCTGGCTTGTGGTGAGAATCTTTTTCTTTTAAAAATATTTTATTCACTTATTTCTTCCAAGAGAGGGTGCATGCCATGCACTCCCAACAGAGACCTCACACCCAGTGTGCACAGGGAAGGCCTGGGACACGGACGCAGGACCTTTCCTACGTGGAACAGTCACTTCACCCCACCGCACCATCACCTGGCCCAGAGTGAGGGGACTCTTCCAAAGCATTCTACCGTGCCCAACACAGTAGGATGTCTGGGTTTTGGGGGAAGGCTTGAATGGTGTAGGGACCCTTAGGTGTTCCACGTTCTCCTGGTACTTTTAAACCTTTTTTTTTCTTGGAAGGAAACACAAAGGGATCCAGAGATGCAAAACAACATAAGTGAGTCGGTACTGGTCAGCCAGTGGTGTAGTGGCTAAGGTGGCTGGTGAGGTCCAGCTGGATCTCACATGGCTGGCTGTGTAGCTCGAGTCCTAGACCTGGTGGCTTGGGAAACATGCTGGGCATGAGTGTGTGCGTGCCCAAAGTCCTGAGAGAAGATTGGAGAAGGGAGTGCGGTGTGGCCATCCCCTCTGGAGGGTGATTTATCTTTTCTCTCTCTGTGGAGCACATGCACCCTACAGCAAAAAAAAAAAAAATGTCAGTACTATTTCCATGAGTCCCTACTGCAGGCTAGCAGGGTCCATGCAGGACCCATAGTGACTGCCTGCTCTCTGGTCTTCAACAAGTGTCACCTTTGCCTGGCTGCCTTATATCCTGCTGAGGCTGCACATTCTTTTTTTTTTTTAATTTTACCCCATTCCCCTCTCACCTCTTACTGGAAACAAGTTGTAATCCATTATAATCTGTATGGCTCACCATTCTTTCTGGGAGACATTTCTGAAACACTAAGTATTTTTGAGAGATCAGTTTTAGCAAAAATAAATATTATTCAGGGGTTGCCACTTGGCAGCTCACCTGTGAAGCATTGAAGGCTTTGCTGTGTAGAAAGGATTACTGAGACCCACCAGGTGGCAGGGAGGACAGACAGGGAGGCTTTGCCAAGCTGTACAGTCTTGGGCAAATTCGGGAATTCCATGTCTTCATATACCTATCTGTAAAATGGGAACACACACAAGGTTGTGGTGAGTCCTAACAAGATAAGGAATGTGGAAGTGCCTGTTAATACTCCTAATTATAGTAGGGGCTTAACAAACGGAGTCGCTCTTACTGTCTGGGGTGCCATTCCGGGGCATGCTGCCGTGTGCGCGTGTGTGCGTGCATGTGTGTGTGTGTGTGTGTGTGTGTGTGTGTGCGTGTGTGTGTGCGCGCGCGCCGGCAGTTAGGGCCTGCGGGAGTGTTTCCTGGGAAAGGCATGCATGTGGCTGTGTCCGCCGGGCTGCCCTGGGAGTGTGTGACTGCCAGCACAGGCTGAAAACGAGGCGCCCGCGCTCGCAGCGGCTGATTGGCAGCGCTGGGTGAATGAGCGCGCGTGGGGGCGACTGGTACAGCGGCGGCCGCGGCTCGGCGCTGCTGTG